TAATTATTATTATTGTCATTATTATTTCTAAGATTATCATTATTGCTATTATCATTATATAAATAGTTATAATGATAAAAATAGCAATAATAATTTGCATAATAATTATTATAACTGCAATAATGATGATAATAATGATAATCAGTTCTTTTAGTTTCATAGAGATTTACTAGCAATGAGGAAACAAATATTCAGTTCAAACCATTAACAAAAATTTATTAATAACAAAAAAAAAAAAATCAATTCACACAGAAGAATTATAAATTTCACGATATCACTATAATTCAAAGAAATACAGAGGAAACATTCCTTTCTTCTCTTAGTCCATGACACAATACTGTCTTGTTCAGTGTCGCGTGGCCACGTAGACTCAATTCTTCAAATTATTCCCATTAATGAATATCTAAAAAGAAGCCTCCATGCCTGGCCCTTGACACGAGTAGGTTCAATTGCCTGTGTTAAAAAAATACACTTTTGTTTATGTATACAGATACAATTTCACACACACACACACACACACACACACACACAAAAATAAATAAATAAATAAAATTCAAAAATAGCACGGGGAGAACACCTCACCTCAAGGCAATGGTCGGGTCGAGTGAGGACCCCCGTACCCACAACCCGAAACCAAGGCTCCCGAGCGAACCTTGATTTCGCTCGCCAAAACAAAATAGCCGAAATTTCTTTACATGGCTCCCCCAACAAGTATCTATCCAATGGATAGATACAAACCAATGATACAAAAAAAAAAAAAAAAAAAAAAAAAAAAAAAAAAAAACAGTTTCTTTTTAAATGAGAAACTAAAACCAGCTTTCCACTTTAGTCAGTAACCATACACATTCATAACAGTTGGCCCCAAAAATAATCCGTTTCTTCTAAAGAAAGGGACCTAGCAGGGAGAAGTTAAAACAAATCTAGCAGGGAGAAGCTATAAAACGTAAACAAAGATGCAGCACGCTCTCAGTTTTTATTCGTCTTCCAAAATAACTGGTTCACTTCATAATGAGAAGTGAGTGTGTGTTTAAATCATAAAAGAAACAATCGTCAATATTGTATTACTAAATACAAATCAAATCTGGTTGATTACTTTAACTTAATCAGTGAATTTTCTACATTTCAGCGAGTGGAACTGTAGTGTAACTCAAAGTACGTGGTGTACACATCAAAGTGAAATAACTTCAAAACTGCTGATACTACGAACATGAAATCATTTATTTAAAAAAAATAACAAGACTGAAAATGCTATCAAATTAACTGTGTGCAACGTCGTAAATTAGAAATTAGTGATTTCTTTTAACAAAACTATATGAAAAGGAGAGTTCCAGACTTCAAGTGTAATTAATTTCCGGAACGACTAAGGAGATCTGCTCCAAGATTATCACGCCCTGCAACGTGAACCAAACGGAAGCGATAAGGTTGCAAGCTTAACGACCACCGTAAAAGTCTGTTATTCGACCCATTGAATTTATTGATATAAATTAATGGCTTGTGATCCACTTCCAGGATAAATTCTTGACCCATTAGGTAATATCTAAATCGGTGGATACCGAACATTATAGCCAAGCCTTCTTTCTCAATAGTCGAGTACCTCTTCTCTCTATCTAATAGTTTCCGACTAGCGTACGCCACAGGAAATGGATGACCATCGACGTACTGTAGAAGAACAGCTCCAAGCCCAACATCTGATGAATCTGTACGTAAGACAAAAGGATGGGAAGCATCAGGTAACTTTAATACGGGTTTTGAAGCTAATGCAGCTTTTAACTGTTCAAATACCTTAGTCAATTCGTCCGTCCATTTCAGTGGCTCCCTGACATTTTTACGCAACAAATCAGATAAAGAGCTTGTCTGTGAAGCTGCTTGTGGAATAAACATTCTATAGAATGAAATCAAGTCAAGGAAAGATCTTAAGGTCTTCTTTGTGCAAGGAGGAGGTAAATTAAGTATAGCTTCTATTTTATCGAGTTTAGGATGCAAGTAGTTTCCATCAAGAATAAAACCCAAGTACTCAATAGACTTAAAGCCAAATCTGCATTTTGATGGCTTTGCAGTGAGGTTAAGTTCACGTAATCTCTTTAACACTGAAATAATAGCACCTTTATGTTCATCCCATGTTTTAGTATGGATGAAAATATTGTCAAAATAGAAGGAAACATTCTTTAAACCAGCCAAAACAATGCGCATAAGGCGGATATAAGTGGCACAAGCATTTACCAATCCGAAAGGCATATGACAAAACTCCATAAGACCCTATGTGAAGGAAATGCTGTTAAAGGTCTGGCCTTCTCAGAAAGTTTAACTTGATAGTAAGCCTTCGTAAGATCTAATTCAGAGAAGTAATTACATCCTGAAAACTTGTACAAGTCTTCCTCCATAGTGCAAGCTGGTTCAGCATGAAAATTAGTTACGGAGTTAACAGCTCGATAATCTATGGCAATACGATAGCTACCATCAGACTTTTTTACCATGACTACAGGAGATGAATGGGGAGATGATGATAGCTGTATAATCCCTTGTTCAAGCAATTGGTCAACTTCATCTTCGAAGTGAGGCTTTAGATGTATAGGAATGGGATAAACCTTAGACTTCATACGCTCTGTGGTGTTAACTTCAATATCATGTTCAAGGGTATTTGCAACCTGGAGTTAATGAAAATACATCTACAAACTCTACAATTACGGAATCAATATCAGATTTCTGTTCTGCTGAAAGGTCAGAACAAATCTCAGGTTGATCACTCTCAGGCAAGATGGGCTCTTCTCCATCAGAAGTTAGAGGAAAATTGCTATCGCTCAATTCAGTATCTTCAAGAATACAATTCTGGACTATTTGTGGGTTCATTTCAGCATCTATCTTACTTTCCTCGTCCATAACATTAGGTTGGGAACTTGTTGCTCTCCTATGATACTTCTTAAGAAGGTTAGCATGAAGCAACTTCTGTTTTCCACCTTCATCGATAAGATAATTCACCTTATTTCGACATTCCAGAACAGTATAAGGGCCACTCCAAGACATGAGCAACTTGTTTTGGTTATCAGGGAGGAGAACAAGAACTTCCTCACCTGGACTAAACTTCCTATCCTGAGATTTCAAGTCAAAATAAGATTTGAATTTAGAGGAACTAATCTCAGCATTTTGAGCTGCAATTTTAGCACACTCCTCCAGCTTGTCTTTCAATTCAATCACATATTGAAAGGAAGATCTAACATCATCTCTCATGGTTGTGTCTTCCCACAAGTCCCTTAAGACTGAAAGAGGTCCCCGGACTGTCCGTCCATAAAGTAGCTCAAAAGCAGAAAACCCAGTTTGATCGCTAGGAATCTCTCGCATAGCGAATAATGTGGGGACAAGATAACGGTGCCATTCTCGTGGTTTGTCACTACACAATTTCCTTAAGGAGGCTTTTAGTGTTGCATGAAACCTTTCCACCCTTCCATTCCTACTAAGATGATAGGGAGTTGTAAAAAGTGGCTTTACACCCAATAATTTATGCAGTTCGCCCATTAGTTGAGAAACAAATTGCCTTCCTCGATCAGACAAAATTTCCCGAGGAATACCGACCCTTGAAAAGATCACCATAAGGGCTTCAGCTACAGATATTGAATCTATCTCTTTGAGAGGCAATGCTTGTGGAAACCCAGTCGAAAAATCTATCAAAGTTAAAATATAACGGTGACCCTCAGAAGATGGAGGAGAAATCGGTCCTACCAAGTCTATGGAGACACGAGAGAAAGGCTCCGTTAAAATGGGCATGGGTTTTAATGGCACTGGTCTTACCCTACCTCTACTTGACATCCTTTGACACTTGTCCCAAGACTTGCAAAAGTCTCGGATTTCAGCTCCCATGTTTGGCCAATAGAAATGATCCCTAATACGCATTTCTGATTTCCGGTGGGAGAAATAACCGGCTAAGGGGCTCTCATGACCTACTGCGAGAATGATGGCTCTACATTTACTGGGTACTACCAGAGAAGATTTACCAACTCTTTCACAGTGCTTTGAAGCAACACATGTACGGTACAGCAAACCATTTATTTGCTCAAACTTAAACACCGTACCATCACGCATCTTATCATGTTCTTCAGACTTTACTTTTTCCCAAAATTTAGTGAGAGAATGACATTCTGCCTGCAATTTTGCAAAGTCTTCAGGAGTTACTTTAAGAGGCTCGATCTCCGGCAACACTAAAGGGTGAACCCTTTTTACTTTGGAGGATCTAGTCTGAATGGCACAGGAATAATCAAGAGGGACATTTGAACGTTCAGTTACCTCAGAATCTGGAGATAATTTGGGACTATATACCCCTGGTACATTTCCAATCAGGACGCTACAGAATTTAATTGGTGCTCGCACCACATCAATCCAACCTTTAAAATAGGGACAATTCAGGTAGCATTTAGTTTTGGGGAAGTAATCCACCCGGCCTAAATAATCTTCGATCCCCACCAGATCAGCCCTAGAGAGATCAACATCTGGTAACACCTTGTGAGATACAATAACACATGTGCACCCCGTATCTCTGAGAACTGTGGATACCCAAGCCCCATTCACTGTACCAGCTGTCATGAACTTTGAATTTTCCCTGTCACTTAGACAAAATCCGACTTTGTGAGTTGGAATTGGGTGATATTGCTTGTACGCTAGGGGATTTTTAGGACAGCGAGATCTAATATGTCCAATATCACCACACCCATGACATTTAACAGAAGAAAAATCCCTTCTAAGAGCTGATTGGACTGGGGCTTTGGAGCCACACTTCTCTTACCTTGTTCAGATGATTGATATGACCTGGGGTAAGCACTATGAGCAGATGACCAATTATCTGACAGGCTTACAAAAACACGCAGATCTGGGGAGATAGAAGACATTAGTTGATCTAACAACATAAAATCACGAAGAGATGCATAATCTTTGGTGATATTATGCGAATCGACCCAATAGTCAAACAATCTTCCAAGCCTGATAGCAAACTGTTCATATGTTTCACCACTTTTTATTTTAGCAGTCCTAAAATCATTCCTGTAACTTGCGGGAGTTTTACTATAACCCCTTAAGAGAGCTTTCTTTAGTAACTGGTAATCGGCTGTTGTTTCTGGAGGCAATGAGGTGTATATATCAACAGCCTTTCCTGTTAACAAACTTCCCAATCTGATAGCATAAGTTTCTTCTTTAAAATTTAACAAGTTAGCAATGCGCTCAAATCTAATTAAGTATGAAGTGATGTCTTCTCCATCTTTAAAGACTGGTAAACTAGGGCGTGAAGCGCCATCAAAAAGTACAGGATTTAATGAACTATCAGAATTGTTTAACCGAGCCATCTGAAGCTCATGTTCCAGTTTAACTCTCTCTTTCTCTGCCTCTAATTGCTCTTTCTGAAATTCTCTTTCTTTTTCTCTCTCCTCCCGTGCAAGTGTCTGTTGACTGATGACATACTGAGCAATATCATTTCCTTTAAGGCCTAGTTCCTCAGCCTGAGCTTTTAAAACATCAAAGTTAAGATCTGCCATTATTACAGAATCAAGAATGTCAAAAACTAAAAAGAATCACTATTGACCGACCGACTCACAAAAATTACTAATACACGTTTAATCAATGCTAGAAGAGTTCTTCCTCGCACTTAGCAACACAAAACAAAAGTGGTCTCAACAGACCAAACTCACCGACATGACGTCAATAACAGGACTTTCAGAAGAGTAATCTTCCCCTAAAGAAGATACACCACACCCTACCTGAAGTCCAACCTATTTTAGAGATTCACCTCCGGGCCCCAAGGACGGCAAACCATGAAGGGGAAACCTTCCCGCAACTTCCATAAACAAACAACTTCCACGTACTGCCGTACAGCACTGAAAGTATTACAGTTGTTAACAAATATAATATATAAAATGGTTCTACTCGTGAATTTGATCCTCAAAACGAGTAAATCATGAATCCTGGCAAGGTCGCCACAAGTAAATGCCAAGTTCTTTTAGTTTCATAGAGATTTACTAGCAATGAGGAAACAAATATTCAGTTCGAACCATTAAAAAAAATTATTAATAACAAACAAAAAAAAAATTCACACAGAACAATTATAAATTTCACGATATCACTATAATTCAAAGAAATACAGAGGAAACATTCCTTTCTTCTCTTAGTCCATGACACAATACTGTCTTGTTCAGTGTCGCGTGGCCACGTGACTCAATTCTTCAAATTATTCCCATTAATGAATATCTAAAAAAAGCCTCCCTGGCCCTTGACGAGTAGGTTCAATTGCCTGTGTTAAAAAAAATACACTTTTGTTTATGTATACAGATACAATTTCACAAAAATAAATAAATAAAATTCAAAAATAGCACGGGGAGAACACCTCACCTCAAGGCAATGGTCGGGTCGAGTGAGGACCCCCGTACCCACAACCCGAAACCAAGGCTCCCGAGCGAACCTTGATTCGACCAGGATTCGGACGAAGCATTTCGCTCGCCAAAACAAAATAGCCGAAATTTCTTTACATGGCTCCCCCAACAAGTATCTATCCAATGGATAGATACAAACCAATGATACAAAAAAAAAAAAAAAAAAAGTTTCTTTTAAATGAGAAACTAAAACCAGCTTTCCACTTTAGTCAGTAACCATACATATTCATAACAGTTGGCCCCCCAAAATAATCCGTTTTCTTCTAAAGAAAGGGACCTAGCAGGGAGAGGTTAAAACAATTCTAGCAGGGAGAAGTTATAAACCGTAAACAAAGAGGCAGCACGCTCTGTTTTTATTCGTCTTCCAAAATAACTGGTTCACTTCATAATGAGAAGTGAGTATGTGTGTTTAAATCATAAAAGAAACAATCGTCAATATTGTATTACTAAATACAAATCAAATCTGGTTGGTTACTTTAACTTAATCAGTGAATTTTCTACATTTCAGCGAGTGGAACTGTAGTGTAACTCAAAGTACGTGGTGTACACATCAAAGTGAAATAACTTCAAAACTGCTGATACTACGAACATGAAATCATTTATTTAAAAAAATCATAACAAGACTGAAAATGCTATCAAATTAACTGTGTGAAACGTGGTAAATTAGAAATTAGTGATTTCTTTCAACAAAACTATATGAAAAGGAGAGTTCCAGACTTCAAGTGTAATTAATTTCCGGAACGACTAAGGAGATCCGCTCCAAGATTATCACGCCCTGCAACGTGAACCAAACGGAAGCGATAAGGTTGCAAGCTTAACGACCACCGTAAAAGTCTGTTATTCGACCCCTTGAATTTATTGATATAAATTAATGGCTTGTGATCCACTTCCAGGATAAATTCTTGACCCATTAGGTAATATCTAAATCGGTGGATACCGAACATTATAGCCAAGCCTTCTTTCTCAATAGTCGAGTACCTCTTCTCTCTATCTAATAGTTTCCGACTAGCGTACGCCACAGGAAATGGATGACCATCGACGTACTGTAGAAGAACAGCTCCAAGCCCAACATCTGATGAATCTGTACGTAAGACAAAAGGATGGGAAGCATCAGGTAACTTTAATACGGGTTTTGAAGCTAATGCAGCTTTTAACTGTTCAAATACCTTAGTCAATTCGTCCGTCCATTTCAGTGGTTCCCTGACATTTTTACGCAACAAATCAGATAAAGAGCTTGTCAGTGAAGCTGCTTGTGGAATAAACATTCTATAGAATGAAATCAAGCCAAGGAAAGATCTTAAGGTCTTCTTTGTGCAAGGAGGAGGTAAATTAAGTATAGCTTCTATTTTATCGAGTTTAGGATGCAAGTAGTTTCCATCAAGAATAAAACCCAAGTACTCAATAGACTTAAAGCCAAATCTGCATTTTGATGGCTTTGCAGTGAGGTTATGTTCACGTAATCTCTTTAACACTGAAATAATAGCACTTTATGTTCATCCCATGTTTTAGTATGGATGAAAATATTGTCAAAATAGAAGGAAACATTCTTTAAACCAGCCAAAACAATGCGCATAAGGCGGATATAAGTGGCACAAGCATTTACCAATCCGAAAGGCATACGACAAAACTCCATAAGACCCTATGTGAAGGAAATGCTGTTAAAGGTCTGGCCTTCTCAGAAAGTTTAACTTGATAGTAAGCCTTCGTAAGATCTAATTCAGAGAAGTAATTACATCCTGAAAACTTGTACAAGTCTTCCTCCATAGTGCAAGCTGGTTCAGCATGAAAATTAGTTACGGAGTTAACAGCTCGATAATCTATGGCCATACGATAGCTACCATCAGACTTTTTTACCATGACTACAGGAGATGAATGGGGAGATGATGATAGCTGTATAATCCCTTGTTCAAGCAATTGGTCAACTTCATCTTCGAAGTGAGGCTTTAGATGTATAGGAATGGGATAAACCTTAGACTTTATACGCTCTGTGGTGTTAACTTCAATATCATGTTCAAGGGTATTTGTGCAACCTGGAGTTAATGAAAATACATCTACAAACTCTGCAATTACTGAATCAATATCAGATTTCTGTTCTGCTGAAAGGTCAGAACAAATCTCAGGTTGATCACTCTCAGGCAAGATGGGCTCTTCTCCATCAGAAGTTAGAGGAAAATTGCTATCGCTCAATTCAGTATCTTCAAGAATACAATTCTGGACTATTTGTGGGTTCATTTCAGCATCTATCTTACTTTCCTCGTCCATAACATTAGGTTGGGAACTTGTTGCTCTCCTATGATACTTCTTAAGAAGGTTAGCATGAAGCAACTTCTGTTTTCCACCTTCATCGATAAGATAATTCACCTTATTTCGACATTCCAGAACAGTATAAGGGCCACTCCAAGACATGAGCAACTTGTTTTGGTTATCAGGGAGGAGAACAAGAACTTCCTCACCTGGACTAAACTTCCTATCCTGAGATTTCAAGTCAAAATAAGATTTGAATTTAGAGGAACTAATCTCAGCATTTTGAGCTGCAATTTTAGCACACTCCTCCAGCTTGTCTTTCAATTCAATCACATATTGAAAGGAAGATCTAACATCATCTCTCATGGTTGTGTCTTCCCACAAGTCCCTTAAGACTGAAAGAGGTCCCCGGACTGTCCGTCCATAAAGTAGCTCAAAAGCAGAAAACCCAGTTTGATCGCTAGGAATCTCTCGCATAGCGAATAATGTGGGGACAAGATAACGGTGCCATTCTCGTGGTTTGTCACTACACAATTTCCTTAAGGAGGCTTTTAGTGTTGCATGAAACCTTTCCACCCTTCCATTCCTACTAGGATGATAGGGAGTTGTAAAAAGTGGCTTTACACCCAATAATTTATGCAGTTCGCCCATTAGTTGAGAAACAAATTGCCTTCCTCGATCAGACAAAATTTCCGAGGAATACCGACCCTTGAAAAGATCACCATAAGGGCTTCAGCTACAGATATTGAATCTATCTCTTTGAGAGGCAATGCTTCTGGAAACCCAGTCGAAAAAATCTATCAAAGTTAAAATATAACGGTGACCCTCAGAAGATGGAGGAGAAATCGGTCCTACCAAGTCTATGGAGACACGAGAGAAAGGCTCCGTTAAAATGGGCATGGGTTTTAATGGCACTGGTCTTACCCTACCTCTACTTGACATCCTTTGACACTTGTCGCAAGACTTACAAAAGTCTCTGATTTCAGCTCCCATGTTTGGCCAATAGAAATGGTCCCTAATACGCATTTCTGATCTCCCATGTCCC